TTCAAACCCGAATCAATTCAATCCGGTTAGTCGACTGGTTCGCGGTCAAACTCGGTCCAATTTCCGATCCGATCCGGTTTTCAAAACATTGCATATTTGACATGTTCTGTCCTCTTTATGCTGGAAAGTCGTAAACTCGTTATACACGTGTCACCGTGATACACTGCAAGCACCACACGTGTCAAATACCCACCTCTTCTTAACCCCCACTCACTCACTCACCATTTTCTTCTCTCCCGATCAAAAACTTCTCTCTCTCTCTAATTCTTTCTTTTTCAGATATCATAAGAAAAAATGGGCTCAGAGACGTTCCTTGAAGTGATTCTGGCGATTCTTCTGCCTCCCGTTGGAGTTTTTCTCCGATATGGTTGTGGGGTAAAGCCACTCACTAATTACATAATTAGCTTAATTACTTAATTTCTTCTTCTTTGTAATTAAATTTTACTAATCATGATCAATGAATGCAGGTAGAGTTTTGGATATGTCTGTTGTTGACTGTGTTGGGTTACATCCCTGGGATCATTTACGCTATCTACGTTCTTGTCGTTTGATCCGTCACCAAATCAATTCCTCTTCTTCTTTGTACAGCTCCCATTTAGCCTTCTTTTTGCAGTTTCTCAATCACTTTTGTAATAAAACACTTGCTTCCCATTAATAATACTATTATCTTCCTTATTTGCTTATTATTATCAATCCCTAGGGCTATCAAAAACAAAAACAAAAACTCAATTTGTTTTGTATCTCATTGTAAAAATTGAAGTATCTCACCAATATCCATCATTAATGGATATATAATAACAAATTTTTGTTTATGTTCTCTTTATGAATCTCCCTTAATGCCAAGCTTTTCTATAGCACTATGTAAACACAATGAAAATTGAATTATCTCACCACCATTCATCATCCACTAGATGAAAATCTTAGGTAACAATACTAGATGAAAATTTTAGGTGTCATCCAAAAAGGATTTTAAAGAAAAAAAATTTTAAGAAATTTTTTAAAAAAACTATTAAAAATTTTTAACGATATGAATCAAATTTATATCATATATACAATATACAACGAATAGAAGATATGTGATAATTAATATAGAAAATTTTATGTAAAAATATATTTTTTTAATAAGACTAATTAATAAATTTTTTTTATTCACGTCAAACGCATGATTAAAATATTCAAAAATAAAAATTAATTATATTTTTAATACACGAGAAAGTAAAAAATAACAAAAATCATATGATATATATCTCCTATATTTTATCTTACAAAAATTAATTTGCATCACACTTAGTAAATGTATATAACTTTTGAGAAATGCCACTTTTTAAAATTAATCAAAAATATTATCAATTAGATTTTTTTTCAAAAGTGTTACTAATCCTCTATATATTATTGAGTAGATATTTGGTGAAAAATTCATATATGTTATTCAATAAGATTTTTAAGGAACATATCATTTAAATTAACCAATAAAAATATTTCAATTAAAACTATACGCCATGATAAAAATTTATATATTTTTATTAATTTTATAACATAAATCTATTAATATAGGTTTTACAGATTTAAGTTTAACTAAATGTAATATTTAGGCTTACAATATATTTTTGAAATTGATATATTAAGAAGTTTTTCATTACTATATTTGTAACAACATTATTATTTGTATATGAGTACTACACTTACAAATATTTTTACATTTAATTATTAAAACACATATATTTTTTGTTTGTCATGTCCGACAAATTCATATAAATATAAAAATTCATTCGATTTATTGCATATTCTATAATTTAAACATCATAAAAAATTATTTACATTTCAAATTAATTGATATAAATAACATTTGTATTAGTTTTAATATTTTTATGCTAAGTTGATCAAAACATATGACATCAAAATTGTTTGATCAAAATTTAACTTGATTACATTTATGCACCATACATATCATTTTATAAGTTTATAAATATTATAATACACGTCTAAATATTAATATCAGTTAGAAAACATATTAAAATATTTAATCCTACGCTTGGCGTGGGTCAAAATCTATTATATTATTAGATAAGAGCAAAATTTTGTTTATGTGGTCTCTTATGAATCTCCATTAATGGTAGGCCGTTTTTAGCACTATTATACAGACACAAAATACGCTTATTCCCTTCATCTATTGATTGAGACATACTCAACATTGAGAAGAAATTGTATATAAATTTGTCACTTTCTTAAATAAAAATAGCGAAATATTATTCATTTCCATCTAACAACGAAGAGTATAAAAGAAGGTTTCGAGAAGAAACTACATTCACCTTAAAGAAAATATATATTGTCCTGCCGTTTGACAAATTAACTTTGAGAAATCAAGATATTAATTCCTCACCAACTCGTAATTGTCACAATTACCGTTGCGTTTAGTTTTCACAGTGACTTAGCCAACAAGAAACACTCTCACTCACTCTGCAATTCCTTGTAACGCACTCTACACCAAAATATAATCCTTGTCCGTTTCACTTTCGCGTTTTGCGTTGGCCCAAAACGCTGCGGTTTTCTAATGGAGTACAAGTCTCAAGTTTTGACTTGTGTCTTCTTCTTCTGTTTGCAGCAGTTGCTTCAGCTGCATTTGGTTCTCTGTTTTCTTTCTCTCCATTTTCCTGTTGTAACAAAAGTTAGCTTTTCTTCATCACCAAAAAGAATCATATTTGCTTAGTTTTATAAGAACATGTTTTCTTTGGAAGCATACCGAGTCGAAAAACCCCATCTTTGGAAGTGGCAACCTCAGACCTGAAGAGGATGATGTCAAATCCTTCACTGTGTATCCTGAATACGATGATCTCATGATAGATTTTGATCCAGATTGTTCTTCAAACCCATGATGAGTCTTTTGTTTTCCCTTAGTACTCCTCCCTTCAAAATCAAACAAAAAGATGTGAATCTTTAAGGGAAAAGATCTTTCTCCTGTTGAGAAAAAGATGAATCATGTATGTTCTCACCGAGTTCACTCACAACACATTTCTTCTCCGATTTTGCTTGCCTAGGAGTCAAAAGTTTGGAAAT